CGGCGGTTATCTTCCAACTAGTTCTATGTGCTACTTCTCACATCTCATTACGGATGTTCCTCTTTACAACAATGAGTCATCATCTCTCGCTTTTTGAAATACACGTTCACGAACCGGGTCTTCAATCGATTCCATTCAATAATCGATACGCCGAGAACGATTTATGTAACGGTTCCGTTCCGCGTGAGATTCGATGTGTCTAACATCGATGTATAGGGAGCCTAGCCTTAATAGAAAAGCCATATATGCTTAGATTTAGAATTTTATTTATGTTATGTACAGCAAGTTCAACTGTTTTCTCTAGTATCATTATGTATGTTTGTTTCGTTTTCTATTTTTAACATTTTCAGATGTTTAGTTTTCGTGACTGTGCTTGTCATAGTGCAATCACCATTGGTTTAGTACTTCAGTAATTGTCCAATTACCGATTGTAAATGCAATTTTAATTGCCTATCTCACGTAAAATGTTTTCGATTTAAGAAGGTTACGTCTCAATACCATGCAAGTGGCTATCAACTGGAAGTGATTGGTCTGTTAAAGACTATCTACTAGGAGATGTTTTGTTGTTAGACTGTCGACAGAGTACGACGATTGAGTAGACAGGTTAATAGCTTAAATAAATCGCGACAACGACCTCCTTTCTACGGTGATTGTTAACTTCATTAATAAACATAGCTCTTTTCGCGTTGTATAAGCTTATTATGGGTGCTTTATGTCGATATGATAGATTTTATAATCAGTCACTTTTTGTTTCGACATCAAACGGGAAATATCCACTTTTGTAAGTATTTTTCTTGTCTACCGAATAGAATAAAACTTGCGTAAAAATGTATCATATTATATAGACGCAAAATCCAAAGGAAGCCACCTCTTTGTAATTTGGCTTACTTGTTCTGCCCAAGTGGGATCTGCATACAGAAACCTGCTACCATTCCAGTAAAATTACACTTGAAATTACCATAACTCTGATTTAGTTCCCATGCGTTATCCATCTATCTAGTTGTGCGTGCGTGTATGAGTGGGTGTGTATGTTTGTGGTTATGTGACATCTCCACCATGAATGATTTGCCTTACAAACATTTTACTGTGCGTATGAAGTCATCATCATCATCAACCCTATATTAATTTATACATAAAAAAGCAAAAGAAAATTAAAAACAAATTGTAGGAAAGGTACGAAGAGGGAGGGGTGAAACAAGACGTCAGCGTATCTCCAAGTATGACGCGTTTATTTACGTAGATGAGGTGTCGTAACGACACCTCAAGACTACGACACTGTCGTTTACAATAGGCGTAATCGCAATTATCCTCGATGCTAGCAGCCGTTCCACGAGGTGGATGCAACCGACGGCGATCGTTGATAATGTACGAAGTTGCTACAAGCTTTTATCTTAAGTATTCCAGCAGAGGTGGAAGTACTAAGAGTGCCACTTGTAGTCCCTATGATTCGACACAAACTTAAAACTCTTGGCCCCTTATATGGGTAATCAGGGAACATTTTGATAGTGCGTTCTATCTCGACGCTAATGCCATCTAGCGGTGGCGCGGGGTACTAAACTTGTTGTGGTGGTGTTACAAAATTAAATTATGCGTATGAAAATATAATATTACATTTCTTTTACCATGTGATTATAGATTGATGCGATGATTGGGTCTTGTGCGAAACTAATAAGTATTTTATCTGATTTTATTTATGTAATAGTTCACTTAAATTGGCACCTTCCGGTCTCTCTTTTGTCTTATTATAAGCGAATTAGGTAACAGCTGGTTCGAATGAGTAGTTTTTAAGTATGTTAATTGTGTGCACAAACGCTGTCTGTAAAGTTCTTAATTAGCACTAAATGTTCCAGTTAAATGGTGTTTGAATATAATAATGATTGTGATCTGTTGAATGTCTTCCTTTTTGGCGGTAAAATAGAAATAAAATAAAATAAAAAGGCATTTACTTCTCCACAAAACATAAGAAACACAATACTTAAAAAACGAATAGAAAAAAAACAATTGAGTGATGTGGACAAAAAGATTTTTGGCTTTTTTTTGCATTGAGCTTTTATCAATATTGTTGATTATCAGTCTTCACCTGTAGCTAGCTAGCTGTTCACTAGCTGCATCAAGCTATTATGCGGAGTTTACACCAAGGCAATAACTTACCTTAAATAATAACTAGTAACAAGTTAAAATGTAATGGCTGTCCTTGTAAATTGATATATATTTTTTTATACATTTACGCTGCTAGGAGTTTGTTTTTATAAGTTGGTTAATGTACACCTGTTTTAATAAGAAGAGGCACGACATGAGCACGACACAGTCGCTATACAAGCGCTCTGTCATTCAGGTAATGAGTTTAAATTTAATTATCGCGGCACCGTTATTCTTTATAGTGTGCTAACAGCACAATTAGAAAGGGCTTCAGAAAATACTGAAACAGCCGACCAAAGGCGTTAAATAGCGTCCACCTTTTGTAGGAGCCATCCAATGATGATTTCGTTGCCTAAATGAAGTTAGTTTTTGTTCAATTTTGCGTTAGGGTTAGTAATATATGTATAATCATGTCATGTTGACGACCTACGTTGTCGAGGGGCTTGCGCAACGGTTTTCATGGCGTTTGGCATGGTGTGAGGTCTCGGATTCGATCCCCAGCGGGTCAATGAAGAAAAACTTTTGTAACTTTTCTACATTGGACCTGGATGTTTGTGGTACTATCGGTGTTTCCGATTACCACAACACAAGTGCATTAATTACTTACTTTGGGATCAGAGGAACGTATGTGGTGTTGTCTAATATTTATTTATTATTTTATTTATTTATCAAACATGACAATAGATGCTAAATTGAGCGAGTAAATAATTTTTGTATATTAATTTTACAATAAAGTTCACAAATTTTTTTTAAAGCTTGACGCTTTCGAAATCCTGAAAAAAACGCCAATAAGCAAAAAAAAGAAAGAGCATATGACATATAAGCAGACGAATATATGAAGGAACGCTTGGACAGACAATGACGAAGCGTCATTGTAAGGGCTTCTAGTAGTGTTAAAAATAGTGTAGACTATATACGAAAAAATTCAATACAAATATTTTTTTTTCAAACAAGTTTAGTGGCAGTAGAGCTCAGTATTTATCTATTGAATAGTAAGTCTAAGTTTTCTTGCGGTCTTAAAAATAAAGTTTGTAATTTTACTGTGGTAATATTTAACAGTGCTAATGAGCGGTGATGGCCTAATGGGAGAGTGGTTGCCTCTTAATTGAAAGGTCGGCGGCGGTTGAAATCCTTGTGGCGGCATGCACTTATTACTTTTGTTTCAAACAGTTACGTACATTTGTGAATATTTGTTAGCATTATCTCTCGCTGCGTGTGAGGGAACACATAGAGATACCAGGTGAACCCTTGGAGAATATAATTTTCTAAACCCTTAGATATGACCTGTGCAAAGCAAAGGGACGTGTGTACAAAGAGTGATATATTTGTTTTCAGGAACTCATTTTAGTCCTACAGTTGATTGTCACACGGCACAAAATAAACGATGACAGACCAATTATAATTTTTACAAAACTTATGTAGTACTTATATGTATTCTTTTATAATAACAAGTGAAGAGGTACGAACAAGTCGTTTGGAGATTCAAATTGCAAAGATCCTATGGGCACCGCCACTGCGCCTGTCACCCGGAGACATAAGCTGACAAGCCCCATGTGCCTGTAATTTTACCAGCACCCTT